AGCAGGTCCTTGGTTCAAACGCCGGTCCAGGGGCCTTTCTGGGTGGAGTTTGCATGTTCTCTCCGTGCATGCGTGGGTTTTCTCCGGGTACTCCGGTTTCCTCCCACAGACAAAAACATGCATATTAGGCTGATTGGTAACTCTAAATTGTCCCTAGGTGTGAGTGAGAGAGTGAATGGTTGTTTGTCTCGTTTGTCTCTATGTGGCCCTGTGATGGACTTGCGACCTGTCCAGGGTGTCCCCCGCCCCTTGCACAGTGATTGCTGGACATGGGCACCAGCGACCCCGTGACCCAAAATGGAATAAACGGGTAAAGATAATGGATGGATGGATGGATTATTCTGTACATCACATTGGTCCTGTGTGCTTGAAAGTGCTTTATACATAAAACTTGATTAGATTGGGAACTAAAAACCTTTTGGAGGAGTGAGATCGTTATATAGTTTGCAACAAAACAGTCCTCATAAAGAGCAAAAGAAAAGCTGCTTTCTAAACACACGCTCCTCTTCCTCCTGCTGACAGAAACCCAGAATGAGAACAACGCAAAGAGCTGTTTGAACTAAGTACAGCTCCCAGGGGAGCTCCGGATTTGGTTACAGAAGCTCTGGAGGTTTCTTCCCCGTCCAGAACATCTGCTTTGAGTTTAGAGAAGATGGATGTTACCCCTGAAAAAGATAACACTCCCCACATAAAATGTGTGTCAGCAGAGTTTAGGCTTCATCTGAAGCGAGGATGGTGGGCACAGAGGAGACGGAGGCAGCTCGCCGGGCCAGCTGCTCCGACGCTACAGAGATGAAACATCAGATCGTTCGCCACATCCTTCAACACTTCAAAAAATAATTAAAAAGAGTCAAAGTAATTTTAAACTCTCTGAGGACAAATGTGTTAATATTCTGTCTGTTCTGCTGGTGATGAAGACTACCTCTGAGAGCCGACTGACCTCACAGAGTGCAGTGAAATGAAGTTTTACTCTCGGTCACGTCGGCGTGGAGAAATGTACCCACCTGCCTGGCTAATACTAGCAGAGTGATGAAGAAGATGAACAAAGACACTGAGCCCATGGTCTTCAGATCCTTCAGGACGCCCGGTCTGAAAACAGAACAAGCACCACAGTTAGCTCCACCAGCAGTTTCCTTACCAGCTTCAACTGGGTCCTTCAGAGATTCCAACAGTTTACATGTTTGTAGTGAACGGTACCGCACATAGTCTGTTGCAGAACCTCTACCATCATCGCTCTTAACTCTGTTCATTTTACATCCATTCATTCTTCAACGACAATTAAGTGAGATTAAACGTCATTCTCCTTTTTTTAATGTTAGCCAATAGCTTCTTGTTGTGCATTAATGATGTCACACACAGAAAAATAAGGGACTTCCATTTTGGTGTGTTGCTGCAACTAGAAAGGGTCCTTTTGAAACTTGGGCTGCCAGATCAAAATCCAGTCCAGAAAAACACTCATCTCAGAAACTACAAACACTCGCTGTTCAAACCCCTCACAGACGGGAGACCTCTGCGTGCCTCCTGACACAACGCGTTTAACATTTGGTTTGTAATATAATCCAATATTTGCCTCATTAACTCTTTCTGTCACAGGCAAAAAACAACAAAAACTTTAATTTACACATGAAAACAAGGACTTTTTTTTTAAGTTAACATTAACAACTCACAGCTACTCAGCATCTCCATTAAAATCCCTCACTTGTGCTGATTAACCATAAATGCTGTGTGTACTCCCTGCAGCTGCAATACAGATGTTTGGTTAAAAGGAAAAATTATACTTTCATTTAGACACAAACTTAACCTGGTGTTTGATGCTTCATAATATTAATAGCACTTTAGGGAACACGAACATAAAGTGTTCAAAACATTTAAATAGACTGGTAATACTATGTATTCCTACTTAATTAAAAAAAAAAAAATTGTGTTTGTTTCTTTCTCAAAAGAAATAAAGACTACTTATTTAACCCCATGTTTTTGTTGCATAAAGGTTCATCACCGAGGCCTCCAAGTACCTCACCAAACGTCTCTGTTGCCCTGAATATAAATCAAACTATGAGTCATTGGAGTATTTTGTCTTTATGTGTAACTAGTTATTAAAGATCTAAATGCTCCACATTCAGTTCTCAGTATTAAATTCTGAAATGAGGAGGTGAACAAAGTGTTTTTGCCTGTTTCTGTGTGCGTATCTTCATGTGTATCTCTGAAAAAACATTGGAATCAAGCTGGTTAAGAAATAGCTGCCATAACCCAGTCATCTTTTAAAAAACTGCTACATTTTGGTCCATTTTAGAGACATAAAACCTGGTGAAACTTTTAGAATTTATCACTGGATGCTCATCTACAACTAACTGTAACCCATAGTGGAGAGAAGAGGAGACACTCCGTCGGTCTGTCTGTGCATGTTATGAGCATATCTTGAAAAATAAGTGAGGTACCAACTTTCATTTTGGTGTGTGGCTACATCTAGGCATAAGAAAGTTCACTATAAAAAAATTGGTTTGTCTGGGTAAAATCCAAGATGGCTGCCGCCATATATATCTATCTGTCTTGTGAGCAGGATAACTTGAAAAATAAGCAACATGCAGACTTCCATTTTGGTGTGTGGCTGCTTCAAGGTGTAAAAAAGGTCACTGTTGAAAAGTGGATCGCCAAGTCAATATGCAAAATGGCCACCAACACATACATGTGTGTGTGTGTGTGTGGGGGGGGGGGGGGGGGGGGG